CCCCAAAACCCCAAAACCCCAAAACCCCAAAACCCCGTTTTAAATAAAATAATTTTGATGATGAATCTCGATAAAAAGAATAAAAGGAGGTGTAAAAGTAGAGGATTAGACCATAAAGCAAGTAGCACTTCTGTCAAAGGTGTTGAAAGACAACAAGTAAGTGTATGGAATATGCATTATGGGATTTTACTCCAGGTTTTGTATTTAAATTATCTGTTATAGAAAATTAAATTCCGACAGCCGATAAAAGTTCAGTAAGTAATCTCATAGTTTGCAGATGGTTATAATATATATTAGACCAAGAAATACACATACTTCACGCCTATCTGGTCTCGCAAAAATGATTGATGATAAAATACCTTCTTCAACTCCAATGTCAGTTTTCAAGCATGAGAATGTATGAATGCCTTTAAAACATCCGCATTCATTTGTATAAGTTCACTAGCTCTATCAAAGCTTAATACAAGTATTTTTCCAACTTCGCCTACTAATTTCTCAAGTGCTGGTTGCAATATGAGTATGCATAAATCTACTGCATTTGGAAATTTTGGTAGACTCACAAAAATTACTTCCTATTCTGGCTCAAAAAATCGAAAACTAGCAACTGGGACTAAAGTTATTGATCCTCAAAAGATGGAGGAATTCAACTCTGCACAGCCTATTTCAGTAAGACCTAGTAGAATACCTCAACACTCTCTTCAATACATCCAACAGCTCCAGAAGCAAGCTTGGGGAACTATGAAGAGACTTCACTTCAGCAAATACAAGAGAGAAAAATCATCAAGCCAGTTCGGATTTACTCACAAGGTAGATGTAAAGCGTATCCTTGAGACAAACGATGAAGAGAAGCCTGAGAAATCGCAGAATAAGATTCTCTGAACCCCGGTCTCCATCCCTGTCGGGTCACCTTTTAATATCTCTGGGAATAAACCGATGAATAAACCAGAAACAAAAAGTGTTCTGAGCTCAAGGCCAAAATCAAGCACGAAGTCTAGAGCAAAATCATTAAGAAAGAGTGGGAAAATGAGGTCATACACTAGTCATGAGAATAGGTCTAGAAAGCCTAAGCAACTTTAACAACTTCGGTGCGAGGGTAAAGACTCGAGCAGACTCAAAGTACAGAGTTGTGATGAGCAAAGACCATAAGAAATGGATCCTTGACATAAGTAATCTCGAGCATGAAGCAGTAAGTTTCTAGCAGATGGACCATAATTTTCAACTACATAGAGTCCTACAAAAGATCAAAATATACAGATTAGCCGGAGAAGTAGTGGAGAACAGAAGGAAGAGGATAACGTTTTAATCCCACGCTATTCATTCGAAATGTATATTTCTTATATTCTTAACTTTTGTAGTCCTCAAACTGTAAAGGCAACTCCTCAGGTTCAGAAAAAGAAGCGCAAGAAGGAATTCAGCCTTTACTCAAGCAAAGTAAGAAAGTTCAAGGCAAAGAATAGGAAGGCTATATTCAAAAATTGACTGGCAAGGCCAAAATCTGGTGTACCGGAGTCTAAGATGCTCTAAACCTTAACCTAATCATGGTAATGATCTTAATAACCTATTTTCAACCTGTTTAGCTAATTTAGGGGTTTTGGGGTTTTGGGGTTTTGGGG